ACCCTGGCCCGGGCCTTGTTACTCCTCTGATTCGAATGCGGGCTCTTTTAGATCGAGGTCCTCGTGGGCGTCATTGGAACATAGATCTCGTGCTCGGCACCGGCGTGATCGGCCGCAAGTGCAACAATCTTGGCCGCCTCAGCCGCACTGGCCCTTCTGGATGACGTGGGCTTACCATCAGTGGAAGGGGCCTGTGCCCCCATCCACAGCAACCAGCATCTCAGGACACCAAGCACCCCCAACAACGCTGCTGTCGCGACCCCCTCCCTCGCCTCAGAGGAGTGCAACCCTAGACACCACTAGGGACCCTTCGTCTTCGGCACTGGAGTCACCTCCGCAAACAGCACCGCTTGCCCAGCCATCTTCCTACCCGGGCCCTATGCTGGATCTGGTGCCGATTCAGGAGTCATCGTCGTCATCGTCATCATCATCTCCTGATGAGGCCTTAGCAGATCCGGCTCCAGCGATGCCGACCATGGATGCCAGGTTGCATCAGGATTTGCTTCAGCATCTAGCCTCCAATCTGGGTGTCCCAGTGGAGCCTGTAGTAGAGGACATGGATCCTATGGTGGACAGCCTGTCCGATGATGCCCCCGCCCTTTTGGCTTTGCCACTCAACAAGACTGTGGCTAAGATCACAAACGCTCTGTGGCAGACCCCGACTTCCTTAACCCCTACCTTAAAGGGAGTCGAGAGGTGCTATTATGTCCCGCAGTCGGGACACAAACACCTATATTCCCAGCCTGTTCTGGGGTCCTTGGTCGTCCAAGCCACGGCTCAGAAGGGTTTTCTCCCGAAATAACCACATCTAAACAGCATTTTTTATTTCTAAATACAGTATTTCAAAATAGCACCCATCCGCAAATATGCAAATGAAGCACAGGATATTTAAATCTCAGCTTTATTTACAATTTTGAATGTCTGAATTTGCATCTCTCTTTCAAAAGAAGGTACAATTGTAGAAATACCCAGGGAGAGCTTTAAGGCTTGAGACAGGTTTTAGATTGTTGACACATGTTAATTGGATGGGTGCCTGTCATTAGGCATTTGCTCATGTCCCCCTTTAAAAATATTTTAAACTGGTACAAATGGCCTTTTTGCTGTTACCAATCAGCAGTTTGCAACACTTGTGATTGTTACAAAACATAAACAAAACCTGGTATCATTTTTAACTTATGATTTACTGTTTACTACTTTACGCTAACATGTTGGGCACCTACTTCTACATCACCTTGAAAGCCTCGCTTAAGCAGTTAGCACTAATGCTATTTTTATAGGTGTCAGCCTCCAGATTTTTTGTACTTTTGCTATTTTTTCCTTAGCCACTTGCCCTTTATCCTTTTTTCTGTAACAATTTTTATTGTGTGAGTATGTGCTCACTGCCTGGACTACGAAATGATGTGAGAGGAAATAGAGGAAAATTGACTTGGCCAATGTTACACTGGTGATCAGTGACAGAGCAGGGCGCAGGGTTGAGCCAGGTGTTACAATGCTGGGTGCTATCCAGTATCTATCAATGAATTGAGGTCATATTTGTAACTCTGCTGAAACCAGTGAAATGAGACACAGGCTGGATCTGCCTGGTATGGCTCTGCATAAAGCTGGCTTTAGAGTCTGGGCCCACTGGTCTGCACTGCACTCTCCCATGTTACAGCAACGGGCACACAACAAACGCTTACATAGCTCAGCTGTTCTAGACCGTATGAGTGCTGTGTAAAACCAAGGGAAACAAATCTTTGATGGCAAGCCATGGCTTCTCTCAAACTTAGCAATCTCCTTGAGGTGCTGCTGTTGTGGTGGTTTCCAAATCATGGTTCAGTGGTTTGGGTGCTGGTCTGGGATTTGAGGGAGACCAGCAATTAACTCTTTGCCCTAACACAGACTTCCTGTGTGACCTTGGCCAAGTCACGGTGGCTACATCTACACTGCAGGCTTCTAGCACAAGAAGCTTTTTGTGGAAGAGATTTTTCCGCAAATACTGCTTGTGCAAGAGCATGTCCACAGTGCAAAAGCACAGCGGAACAGCCATGCACTTTTGCACAAGAGAGTGTCCCGACTCCATGGAGGCTTTTCCATTAGAAAGCTCTGATGGCCATTCTGTGAATGGCAACCAGAGCACCTGTGCTTGTTTTGATAGGCTGCTTTTTGCACACAAAAAACCTGTTTCCCGTCCCCACACACTTTTTTGTGCAAGAACTCTTGTGCTAAAAGGTGTTATTACTCATAGAAAGAGGAATATCTACACCGCAAAAAACTCCTCTCTTCTGTCGATTCACTATATATTTTCTTGCACAAAAATGCAATTGAGGTGTGGACACTCCATGCCTTGGTTTCCAGCTCGAAAATGGGGAGAAGAGCACTTTCTTACCATCAGTGCAAGAAGGTTGCTGCCACACCCTCTAGCATGAAAGGAGGTTTCTGTCCGACGCAGGGTTACAATTTGGTTCAGTGACTCTCAATACCCACACTATACAAATAGTTCCAGCACCCCAGTCTGTCCGACCTCACCGAGTGGGTATCAGGGTAAATACACTAAAGAGCCTAGTATGAAGAATAAACACCTGGTTTGCATAGTCGTTCTGCAAACAGGTCCCATCTAGAAGCATTTCCCACCAGTGTCTATAGGAGACTTTTTGAATAGTGGCTACTTGGAGGGCATTCGCTAGCTCAAGCCATCCTGCCCAGGGTCCTACAGATTGGACTCCTTTGCACAGGGTTGTAATGGGATCTCTTCATCTGCTTGAATCCAGGTTGCTGACATTTAAAGCAATTGCCCAGCTTTTCATCCTGGGCTGCACTTGGAGCTTTGGGTTCCTACAGGTCGGCCAAGCAGCCACGTTCATGGCGTATTTATTCACCATTGTCAACAGCCTGCAGGGAGCTTTCATCTTCCTGGTGCACTGTCTCCTCAATCATCAGGTAAAGCCCATGTCCTGTCACCTGATTAGCTCAGCAGATTCACTAATACTCAGTTAATTTTTAGCTGAGCAAGGTGCCACTGGAGGGGACAGGATGCCATGCCAAGTGGCAAGGGTTCCATCCACATTAAAGACCTGAGACAGGTTAGCTGTACCATGCAGTTTGGTGGTAGCTGCATCAACTTACATTTGCTAGTTTGGACTTTGCAACCTGATGAACAGAATTTGGCTCATTGCAACGAGGGGCTGAGAGCGTCTCATCCCACTTCCCATGTGGGGATTTGGGGTGGGGAAGTTGGTCACAAGAATTCCAGTCCTTTGGCTCTGTTGGGACATAGAAGGGAGGGGTGTTAAACTGTCCACGTGTCTCATGGGTCGTTGGTTACATGAGCCAATGGGCGTGCTCCTTATTTTTCTAGGTGAGAGCGGAGTACAAGAAATGGATTCAAAGGATTGAAAAACCCAGCACCAGAACTACGACTCTTGAGATCTCGATGTCAGCTGCCCCCCTTAGCACTGGAATTGTGGTACTCTTCTCTTTTTCCAACACTGCCATGTGACACACGTCCATGGAACAGGATCTCCCTTTAGCAGCCTCACTGCTGAGTATGTGGGCCTGCTGCTGGTGGGGGAGAAGCAAGGGGGGCACTTTCCCAAGGGCCCAGCAATTAAAAAGGGCCTGGGGCCCAGCAGCTTCCACAAAAGTTCTGCCAAAAAAGGATCTCTTGATTCAAAGACTCTTCTGATATTTTCCATGCAGGTTCTGGGGCTGGATTCCCAGGCCCAGGAACCTGCTTAGGGCATATCCAAAGCGTCTTTGAATCAAGAGATGCTGCTGAAGATTTTTCCCACAGGTCAGGTCTGGAAAAGGGAGGGAAGGCTCAGTGAGGTTGCCCTGAGGCTCACCCAGAAGGTGGTGGACAGGACTGGGCCAGCACAGGGGTCTTCTGACAGGATGGTGGGGGGTAAGAGGCTTGTGGTCCAGCTGAGCAAAGGGAGCAGAGGGAACATTGATTTCTGCCGTGACCCCAGAATTGTCTATCAAATGGCCAAAACTGTTATAGGTTAACACAATAATATCAGGCCCATACACAGGGAGTGTGTGAATGCACCCACCTCATTATTCCCCGCCTTCCTGGTGGTCTCCGGCCTGAGCTCAACACCCTCCTTCCCCCCACAGTGGGGGACCCACACTGGTGCTGCAGCCTCACCCTCCCATCTCCCCGTCCAGCATGGCTGGAGCGCCAGCATCAGCTTCCCAAAGCGGGAGGAAGAGATAGCCCTGAACCTCGCTTCTCAGTTCAGCTCATGGATCGCTCTCCCCTTTCACGGCTGGGGAAACAGCAGCATGTGCACCTCCAAGTCGCTGGTGCTTTGTGGTAGTTCAGCTGAGAATGAAACAGGAGTATTAGACACATACAGACCTGGGAGAATCCCATGTGCCTTGAGATCCTATGCTGACCAACAGGGAAATATTTTAATAGGACCCTCCCTTCACATTTCCTTCCTGGGGGTCTCTTGTGAACTCCTGGGATCTCTCCGCATGGCGTGGGCAGACACTGGCTTTTGAAACCTCATCACCTACATTACTGGATCAGAAGAGTTTTCTGAACAAGACTGAGACTGAATCTTCATTCGTTCAGAGGGCTGGCCCCATCTGTGAGGGTCAGCACAGCCAGGAATTTCTCCTGGTTCCTTTGCCCCTAGAAGAATAGAACGCAGGAACTCTATTGTGTTCCAGAGAGAGTCTCCCTCTTCCACATTAAACACTCTAGCTGTGTCTACACTCTAATATTTTCCACAAAAATATATGCAAATGAGGCAAAGCGTAGAATATTGCCACACATCATTTGCATAATTAATGAGGCTCCGTTTTTGCGCCAAGAGGCTTTTGTGCAAAAAGGAGCCATCTGCATGGCTCCTTTTTGTGCAAAAAAACCCCTCTTATGCAAGAACTTTTCTTCTGGTAAAAATGCAGAAGAACAGCTCTTGTGCACGAGGGGATTTTTGAGTAAAAACGGCACCTCATTATTTATGCAAATGAAGCACGGCAGTATTCCATGCTTGCCTCATTTGCATATTTTTTGCGCACGAGGGTGCAGTGTAGACTTAGCCTCTGTGGCTTTGACCATGTCATCAAATCTTTGCTTTCTTTCCAGGAATGGGATAAGTCCTCCTGAAAAATGGAGACGCCTATTGCATGTGGGGTGAAAATCAAGTCTTGCTCAATCCCCAGCACCAAAAGTCCACTCCTGTAGCCGGAAGAGGAAGCTGCTGATCTTCAATATCCTCTGATAGCTGCTACTCTGTATCTTCTCCTTGTATAGAGCAGGGGAAGGCTGCATCTCGTGCGTTCTATTGTTTTAGTACCTTTGGCTTCCCCCAAGTGGCTGCAATCTCCTCGCTAAAATTTTAAACGAGGGCCTGGCTGCTCCAGTTGAAGTCAACTGGAGTTTTCCCAGTAGATCTCTGCTCCCCTCCCACTGAAGCCAAAGAATCAGCAAATCCTTCCAGTTAATAAAAGGTGGAAAAAATGACTTCATTTCCCAACCTTCTCCAAACCCTAGAACTTGGACCAACTTCTTGTCTCAGTTCAGACTGAAACCAATCCAGAATTAATGAATTCAATGGAGTTACTCTGAATTCACACCCGTATAGCAGCTCCCCATGGAGCCGCCTACCTGACAAGCACCAGCTCCTGCCCTCCACCTCCCGTGTAAATATGTAACCAATAACATTTTCTATGGTTATATGTTACAAAAATAAATGAATTTTAACATCTCTAATACTTTAATAATCCCCCATTGGCATTGCATGGTGAAGACACCACACTAAGTAAATACTAGAAGTTGTTGACTTGAGCTATCTAATGTATGGGGCTGAGGGAAGACTGAAAGAACTGGGCTTGTTTATTTAAGAAAAGAGAAGACATAATAGAGGGGACATAATAGAGGTTTTCAAGAATCTAAAAGGGTGTTATAAGGAGGAGGGAGAAAAATTGTTCTCTTTGGTCTCTGAGGCTAGAACAAGAAGCAATGGGCTTAAATTGCAGCAATGGGGGTTTAGGTTGGACATCAAAAAAACCTTCCTTCCTATCAGGGTGGTTAAACACTGGAATAAATTGCCTCGTGTTTAAGGGGGGGGGGGTTGTGGAATCTCTATCACTGGAGATATTTAAGAACAGGTTAGGCCAGCGGTCTCCAACCTTATTAAGCACAAGATCACTTTTTGGATATAAGTCAGTCCAGGATCTACCTCTAATCCAAATACCTGATGCCCCGCCCCTTCTCTGAAGCCCTGCCCCGCCCCTTCACTCAGATCTCATCCTCTTCACGCTGTGAAGATGGGGTACAGGAGAGGGGGACAGAGTGACATCAGTGCCCCCCAGCCTCTGTCTCCCCCACCGTGCACAACAAGCAAGAGGCAGTGAGGAGAGCGGCAGCTGAAGTGCCAGCACTTGATAGTCTCCCAGCCAAACCAATCAGGACCACCTGTCACAGGCTCCAAGCTCTACCAGCAGATCCCAATCTACTGGTTGGTGACCTCTAGGTTAGACAGACACGTCAGGGATGAGCTAGACCAGTGTTTCTCAAACTGTGCTCCATGGAGTCCTGGGGCTCTCCAAGACATCTCCGGGGCCTCCGCAAGGTTGACAGATTTGAAACATCAATAGGTACAACACATACAATCAGTGGACCACTGGGGCGCTGCATACATTTTTACACATGTAAAGGGCTCTGGAAATTTGAGAACCACTGAGCTAGACCAGTAGATCTCAAAGTGTCGGCCCTGAACTGCTAGTGGTTCTTGCTGCCTTCCAGGTGGTCTGTGGTTTGAGTCCCACCTCTGCCCTAAATAAAGAAAACATGGAATCCTCTTTTGTTGGACATAAATTAATATTTTACTTTATTTAAAATGAAGTTTGATTGACTAACATGAGGTAGTTAATCTGTTTAATTATTTAAATTAAACCATTCTCATTAGCTGCAGCACCAGCAAAATGGCTCGGACATAATTAACGGCCACTTTCCATTTACAACTGGTGGTCCTTGGAAAGATTTGCATTGAGCCAAGTGGTTCACAGGCCAAAAAGTTTGAGAACCACTGATCTAGACGTTGCTTGGTCTTGCCGTGAGGGCAGAGGACTGGACTCGATGACTTCTTGAGGTCCCTTCCAGTTTTGGTCTTCTACGATTCAATCTGAAATAATCATTGACCCGGTGGGTAATGTGTCTGACCCTTTGGGACTGGTAGGACTTTCTATATGATGAACAATATTGTCTGCAATCCTCATCATATTTCACTGGGCTGCGTGGGTGGCAGTCCAAGGCTGGGTTGATTTAAGGGAATTGTGTTTTGGCTTCTGGGTAGCCAGTAAGTTATTTGTAGAAGCATTTTGTTGCTAGCTTGGTGAATCTTAGTATCATATATATAGTAGCCCAGTGTCTGTACGTCTGTAACACTGACGTACATGGCCATGCCCCCTGGCCATGTACGTCAGAGCCCCACCCCCCTTCCCCTCACTCCATGGGGGAGCTGCACAGCGCGCCACGGATGGAAAGGGAGGGGAAGGGGAAGGGGCGCCACGCAGGGAGGGGAAGGTGGCGGGCCTGGCCGGAAGGGGGGGTGGGAAGCAGAACTGGGGGAGATTGGGGGCTG